CGACTTACCATAGTCACAGCTGGAGAGTGATAACCATCCGTTCCTCAAGTTTCAGGATAGACTATCTGAATGAAATTCAGCATCAGCACCATCCGGAGAGCCCGGATATTGTGTGGATCTGCCTTCACAACTTACGGAGACCTTGAGCACCTCTTGTCAATGCTGCGTATTTGCTTCCAAGCGACGTGAACTGAATGAACACCAAACTGGAATGTCCAGAATCTGGACCTCTGGGTTCTCTCGGTTCATCTGGGCTCCAGATAAACTCTAACTAAGCGCGTCGTACGAACCTAACGAGGGGCATGCCATGAGCGCAGTGTCCACAACGGCGCATCCGGGCGTAACAGGTTTCGCCAACTCGGATTTCGCCAAGTAACTACCGCACAGATTTCATTTGCTGAACACCAAGAAAAGCGGTCAAATACAGAATATTACGCTGATTACAGCGGGTCGGCGATTTCGATACTAGACTAGAGAACGGCGTAGTTCTTGGTGAAAGAACGATTTGGTTGGCGGCGAGAAAATGGTAGGTATAACACCTACGCATGGAGGAATACAGCAAATCTTGCCGAATACCGATTTCCGCGATTTGGCATGATTCATGAGTACGGGTTTTGCCTCGTCGTGGGAAGACACAGATTATACCACCAGACCAGGGGCCTATTTCACAAGCGTCCTAATGTTAGGATTTCAACTCATTAGGATGCAATTTAAGGATAAATGGCGTTCACAAGGGCCCTTTCCTTAAGTTGGGTTAGGACTTTAGGACATTAGGATCCTTACCGTTAGGATTTAGGATATTAGGATGCCTTTATCCTCAAAAACAAGCTGTTAGGACGCTCGGCTTTCACAAGCTATATTTTTAAGGAAATTTTCATCCTAATGGTAAAGTACCTCGGGGGGTACTTTACCGACCATCCTAACGTTAAAGGTGTACAAGTGTAGGGATCGCGCCCTACGCGCTCGCCCTTGTAATCGTTATCGTCTGATCACATATATTCGCTCGCCATCGATCGCGCTATGCACGTATGCGCACTGTGTGATCATGAACTTAGGATAAGTAGAGTTACAACTCCTTTTTGATCCTTCTCACTCGGCTGCCCTTCCACGAAGGTCTGCCCTTGCTGTGAAGTTCGACTACGCTATCCACTGAAGTCTGGCTACTAGTTGTGTTGCCCAGTAACAGGCACAACATTCTGGTAGCAGCTCCTTGTTGATCGACGACGAGCCCAATGACGAACAATACTGGTGATAATCGCCCCCAGGTTGATGAAGCCGCCCCCTTGAGGATTAGTCTCTCGATGCCCCCTGCTTTCGATGGTATCTCCGGTAGCTTTAAGGATTGGCTAAGACGTTATGAACAATGTGCCCTTGCCGCCGGATGGTCCCCTCAACAGCAGGCAGAACGCCTTGGTCTGTACTTGAAGGAACCCTTTCTCTCTGGTTGGGATGCTTATGCTAAGAAGGTGAACTTCGAGGAAGACAAGAAGTCCCTCCTGAAGATATTCGATCATGTCCGTCCCCACCAAGCCCTGAAACAGTTCCAAGAACTACGCTGGTTCAAAGGTCAGCACCCTGCCCTCTATGCTGCAGCTCTACAACGACACCTCAACCGGTACTATACCAAGGAGAAGTTCCCTGAGCTCTCTGAAGCGGACAGGACTAAGAACATGGAGGAGATGATCATCGACCGACTGAAAGCAGATCTACCCCCCATGGTCCGGTTCCAGCTCCTCTTGAAAGAGCCTAAGAACCTCAAGGAGGCCTGTATAATGTGTGACAGCGTTCTTGCCCTCGACGACGTTAACCCCAACACCACGGTCGAGACACCGGCTAAGGTTGCCACAGCCGCTGGTGTTTTCGGTAGCCAACCGGCCGATGACTCTACGGATACGCTCACGAAAGCTGATGCCAAGCGTATCGAACAGAAGCTCGACAGGATTCTGGGTGGTATGAGACGCAAGAGTGGCGATCCTAAGCAACAGCCAGATACTAATGTCACCTCTACCGTGGCCCTTACTCGGCCTAGGAACTGTGGTATCTGCAAGGCCCAGGATCATCCGACCTACTCCTGCCCCAACAAGAAGTTCTCGGAAGGTTGCTACTGGTGCGGCAAGACTGGTCACTTGGCTAGAGATTGTTACCAGAACCCGAATAAGGTGATCCGTAATACGGCCTCTAAGCCCCCTGGAGGTTCCCCCTTACCGCTGGGAAACCCCCAAGGCGGTCGATAAGCGGCCCTCGATCGCCAATACCATTTGCCCTTGAGACTTTCGGCGGGTCTTACGGCAATTTTCTTTACGCCGATATTTCATCTGACAAGGCCGCTCGAGGTCCTTGTCATGCTCTAGTTGATACTGGTAGCTGTTATACTTTATTAGACGAACGTTGTGTCCCGGCTGGTGCCAAGATACAACCTGTTCGTGGACTTGAACTTATTTCTGCACAGGGTCATAGCTTCGATTTGCTAGGAGCTGTCGCCCTTACTCTGTCCTTGTACGATTCGACTAACTTAGATAATCCTTGTTTACCGGAGGCAGACCCCCCGCCGCCGGGTCCCGACCTCCCTCCTGATATCGTGGTACCTATGGTATTTTTGGTGGTAAAGGCGTGTGTTCACCCTATCCTTCTAGGTAGCGACTTTTTGGCACACTATAGGATGTCTGTGGTCTATCAAGAGCTTGGCCCTCCATGACTACAAGGTGTCTTGAAGGACTGTTATAAGATGCTCAGATGTGTTGCTCTATACGCGAGCGCTTTTGGGCGTGCGCATTCAGTCTCATAGCTAATCTTCCAGTGTAGTTGCTTTGAATACTCCAGCAGTCTTTGCGCACTAGAGGAGAGGTATCTGTAGCCATCTTGGCTCAAGTTATCTTGTTGAGTTCCCACAATCTCCTAACAAATGGTACCCGATGCAGGATTCGCCGATATAGTTGCGGGCGTGGTGCCTACTCATCTACCGGCTGTTGACGTCAGTGCAGAGATCCAAAGCATCAATTTGGAATGCACTACCTCAAGGGAATTTATGAGAGAGATCTCTAGATTAAGAGGAAAGTATCAACGATGGGTTTCCGGGAGGGAGGAATTTCATGAAGGAGGACCGGATCGTGACATTGACGTCGCTAAGATCGTTTATGGATCGCTGCTTGATGCTGCGTCCCTTGAGGGTATTGATGAAGTTTGGTTTGAGTATCTAGCTCGATATCTTTCCAAGCAATGTGCAGCAATGCATCGTTTAGAAAGGAGCTGGTATGAAGGCCGTTCTGATGATTTGAAGAGGGCGATTGATGGGTTCATAGAGAATAGAGAGAAGCTATGTGGGGGGACTCGTGCGAAGAAGGAGAATACCGATGTCGCCATATCGTGGCTTAAATTGGACGTTGTAGAAGCAGCTCCTTGGAGTTTCCCAACTGATAGCTGTCCTTATCGATTAATAAGAGAGCGTATCCAGAATGCCATTGAAATTTATGGCCTGAGAGGGAAAGCAGAGGTTTATTATATTATGAGGAACTTTGCGGGTGCGTTAAAATCAGAGTTAGAGATGATGATCCGCACGGGGTTACAGCGAGATCATCAGACACCCGAATTCGTAGTACAGCATCTTTGGGAATATCTCGATAAGAGGTTTAAAAATTCATTGACGATTTCGGAGATGGTACAGAGATGGGAATCGTTGAAGCAGCAGGATGCGGAGCGAGTTGAAAGTTTCTTCTCTCGTGTGGAGATGGAAAGTGTGTTAGTAGTGGCGATGACTGGGAGGGCCCATAGTGATTTAGATAAATGTATCCGTGCCAGAGCCGGCATGCATACTCGAATATTAGATTCATTGGAGAGTCTGGGGCCCGACGT